CATGCGCAGCGCGACGACTACCGCGGTTTAAACTTTCGTTAATAGACTTGATTCAATACAAACAGTGAAATACACTCGTAATAGAAGTCCAAGAAATGAACATAATACACATTGTCATATCTTGGAGGCATTTATTCTAGGCCTTGAGTACAGAGTATTTTTTTATTGGAATCCGATTAGCGCAATGCAGATATATGGCTATTTTCCAAAACGCCAATGGAAAGAAATTTTACACAATAAAATATTACTACGATATTGAAAATTGATAAACTACGTTATACACTATAACACAACACGATACACTGGTTATTAAAAAGTGAGCATTTTAACAACATGTTTAAAACTGCTGAGAGATGCCAGGCCTTGTAATTGTGAGGGAAGAACTATTCTCATAAGGACACCGATAACTTTGCTATTCTGTTTGACTAAGTCAGCAATGTGCACATTGAATTTCAAAATTTTATCAAGATGGACGCTACGATAAACAAAGATATCAGACTGTTGGGTTGATATATTGTCCATTATGAGATTTAAAAAATACATTATGGATCTTTTGTCTGTAGCGGGCAAGCATGCAGTCTGTCCACTGTGTAGGCTTAATCAGTACATAGCAAACCCCTACATCGATAACATCTTCTCATTGTTTCAACATATTCATAAGCTAGATCTTAGGTGATATCGTTTGCATATAAATTCAAGCAAGGGGGTATATAGATGGGCAGGTCGTTGATATATAACAAAAACAAGAGTGAATTCAATATGGATTCTAGCAGAACACATGTTTGTTGTTTTTAGGGTTTCAGAAAAAGGGGAATTAATAAAGGCAACCTGAAATTTATTATCCAAATATGCACGAAACCAATTTCAGGTAGTACCAATAAGACCGTATGTTTGTAGTTTATAAGGGATTGTATGATCAACGGTATTGAAAATCTTACGTAAATCTAGAAGACTTGTATATTATACTATACTGCTCTGCTTCGAAGTGGTAGTAAAGGAGAGGGTGCACGAATGTGCATTTGTTGGCGGTTGTCAGTTGACGTTATAAAGTATGAGATTGAGTAGGCGAATTTCCATTTGTTAGCAGTTGACAACCTGAGAGTCGAATCACGTCGTGTCCACATTAATTTTCACGGTTCATTGCACGTTAGATCACCACACCCAATCTTTTCCAAAAAACGAAAACACGACTGCAATCGATATGGCGGTGCCTAATGTCAAGTATTACACAAATACGTGTCCACTAGAACAGCTGATGATAACATTATATTACATTCACATATTACGCGACCTGCTGTCCCGGCGACTGATGATAAATAAGTTTCTTCTTCAATCGTTGAATGTGACGTAAACGTACTTGATAAATGAGAGTGTGTTTCATTCGGAGTTTGAAACAAGTTTGACACTATTGTGAGTAAGAGGTTTGACATTAAATGGTCACACGCACCAATGCTTATTGGTCATCATTCACAGCCCAGAAGTACAATATAAAAACGACAAATCGTCAAAGCTTCGTATGGAGTTTTACACCTGGTCATATTCTTTGTGCCAAAGGTCACGCTGGATGTAATGACATTTCGAGGTGTGTGAATACAACTAGGTATAGTTGACGTAACAACGTCAGACATGAAAAGAATCGGTGATTTACTTTCCTATTTTGATTAGATTCTAAACACATAGATATCCTAGCTGTGTCGTTTCCATGACTACAAATTGAACTAACACACAAAGGTGTCGTTTACGTGTTTACTAAGACTAGCTTCAGGAAGTATTATTTTATTGGGATATATGTTAGTGATTGAAATGACCCCGGTGTTACTGTCTTCGTTGTTTGTATCCATTGTTAGACTTGTAAACAGAAGTAAATTGTGTTTGGGTGAGCACTCATCTGTAACTACCCAAGAGGGTCTCATGTGAATTGTGTTAACAGAGAACGTGTCCGATGACTTCAAACACAACGTTACAATAATGAACTTAAAACTTCCTAAAACGCATGCACGCGATTTTGTTTCTCATACTCACTTCGTTCTCATCGAATGTCACTCTGACCTTTAAGGTAACCAGGGTAATTATCTTTCACGTGACCCCGTTGAGGTTTTCCCGCGAAAAGGCCCGTTTGAATTCACTTTATTGACAGATGCATTGTAACAACGTGCTAACAATTTAAAGTAATTTCGCATTTGATAAAAGTAAATTATCAAAGCGGTTTTAGCGAAACGTGGTATTAGTTGAGTTCACCATAACGATGTATTCATATTAGTATGGTGTAGATAAATAGCCCAACAGTCTAATCTTAAAACCTACTGACACACTTGACATTCTCCAAGCCGAGTACAAAAATCCACATAACATAACGCAAAGATCCTCTAAATTATCGTTTACAAATTAAAACAATTTATCCCATTTTAAATGCGTTCTCACTATTCTGTCTTGTATACTTTGTTGTTGTATGATTTCCATGGCTTACTAATACCCATTATCCAGAGTACATACTGTCAGTTGCACGGCAAAGTTAAACTTTTGTTGCGTTACTGCAATATAATCTTACCATGCGCTCTCCAAGGTGTGTATACACGAGTTAACTGGAGTAAGAAAATCCCACTGTGAGGAAACTATGCGTTACCCGACACTCTAATACAGAAATACCGGTTGCAGTTGTGTTTTTGTTTGCTAGTAGTGCCTTAGTAGGACGTTATCAAAAATGTGATACAGAAATTAACAATCATGAAAGTAACCCTTAAAAACCGCACAACAGGTGTTAAACTGACATGTGAATCTCACTGATTGTCGACATTGCATTTTGCTAAACGATTGAGATATCACGCCAAGAAATTGTGCGATTTCAATAATGTCTAGTTTTCGAAAACTATTTTATGTTGTTTTTTTGTGTGAAAATCATTTTAAAATGCTTTCTAACGCACGTTTAGCATGCCAATTTTATGCGAAACGTAACGGATAAATTGCCAATCATTGGCGCAATGTCCGTCTCAAACTCGACTCAGTGATCCGATATTGTTGGGAATCTTTGAAATGATAGAGGCGTGAAATCGTTTCACGGAATGTCTACTGAATAATATTCCGGTGCTTGCGGTGTTCATAGTGAAATCACTCATTCTAATTGCACATTTATGTCAATTTAATCTTTGTTTGTATCTTTTGACTTAGCTGATGTTTAGTACAATACGTAGTATATACTGACATGAAAGCGAAACAGACGGGTCTCTGTGCTCGCATTACGTGACTCCGATGTCATCTGAGTATGTTTAGTTTTCATAGTCTTCGCAGTCTCTCACAAGTATAAATGTCTACTAGAAACACGACTGACAAACCATTTATGCGATGTTCCATCATGTATCGTGATATTAACGTCAACATAGACGTATAATTATAATATTATTATCAATTCGCTTACTACAGCTGTTCAATGTCATCCGGACGGGAAACCGACTATATTTATAGATCACATGCACGATGGCGTTGGTAGTGAACAAACTCTCTTGAACATACCGACCTATGCATATTATTGTATACTGTTTGTTAAGTGTTTAACGACGTAAATCAGACAACTTTCCATCCATAATATCACGACAAAATACACGAACAGCGTGGTCACGTTACGTGATCACCGGGTCAGGTAAACTGCGTATTATTCTCAGTCGATGCCTTATTTTTTTTTTGTTCAACGAGAATAAAGTGTCCACCCTTTTCGATGCAAAGTGTATAGAAGACTAGCGACACGCCTTCTATTACAGCTCAACGCCGTGATATTGATACTGCTTGGGAATTATTATTTTATAAAATGGTTATCAATCGGGTTCAATCGGGTTGGGCTGTTTAACTTGAGGTCACGAAAAGTGTACGGAGGTACACAGTTTAAAAATAATGGTCTGGGCGAGTGAATCACAGATGATTTGGGTGTGCTTTGTAAAGCCATATTTATAAGTACAGTGGAAATTCAGTACAGTGGTATACGTAATGTATTGGCATGAGTCAACATAAAATGGATTGAGATAAAATCCACAAAGCTAGTTTACAAGAAAACCTGTTTGATAAAATTATTAATAAATAAATGTGTTTTTCCGACAACGATATTTGTGTCAGCATATGCCATATCTCACCTTTGACGTTGAACTTCGCAGGCTGGCTACCAATCAATAATACCAATAACAGTGTGATAACCATAGTTAATTGTTGTCACAATTCCACGGACTAACACTTGTGGTGACCGTAACATTGAGATACCATCAAAGCATTTTTAAATTATTGCTCATGTACCAGCAAATACCATAGACAACTAGCACTAGAATAATTGTGCGGTATTAGCGATACGCAGTGAAATGTTGCGCCAAGTATCACTGGCATGGCAGTTCTGTTACTCCACGGATGGCTTGAGCTGTAGAAATGACGTCACGACAAAACACGCAAGTCTTAACCATTCAATGTATATATACTGGCCCACGAGCAGAACGATTGTAATGCAAATTCATACATAAGGACGCCGGGGGTCACGCTATTATAGTAACGACACTCAGGGTCATGTCATTTTAACGACAATGCTGTTTACCCGTCCACAACACCGATGTGAACAACGCGAGTTGACTGCATAATGCGAAGCAAATAAGACGGCAGTCAGCTGAATGCGATCATTGGGAAACACTCGGGGAATACAAGGCAAAATAGGCGGCAATGGATTCATATTTCCACTACCGACCTGTTGATACATGTTTTGTCACCCTATTTCATTATTACAAAACAGTCATTCCTCTTATGGCGTATACATTCACATTCATAGCACTTTATTTGCCAATTGACTTGACGACCAACTTTCGATTTATCGGGTTTGATACGCACTGGCGAAACTCATTTAAGTTCATTATCGTGCGCATAACAATTACACGTGTACTTTATAATGTATTCCGGGTTTCAGTTATTAATTTGACTTGTGGATTGATGGAGCATGACATTAGCATCAATAGTCACGAACTCACGCTGTTTATTTTCAGCAATGTTAGTCAAATTATAGCGATTAATAGTATGCCAAAAAAGTATATGCTCCTCGACAGCAAGTCAATATAGTACGAGTCAATGATATGTATGACGAGACTGTGGCATCCATAATGGAAGGTCGCTTAGTGATCGCTTTCTCACTAGTCAATATCACAATAACACGTCTGCGAAAACAGTAGTGAATATAATTCTACTCTGCTATACTACGTTATTAGTATATCTCTAGATAGTTGTAATTAAGCCATTAGAACTCACATCTCTCAAGATTTCATTTTTTTAAATTACAAACCATTAGAAATTCGGTAGAAGTGTGTCTATGACGTAACAGTCGCCAAGGCGACACTGAAACGTACACTATTTATTTGTTGCGTAGTTTGTAACATATTTAGTACAATGTGTCCATTGCTCGCTGTGATGTAGTTGGTGGCGCTAACAGGACTATCCACACTATCTAATACCTCAGAAATATTTAATATGGATGGGCACCATTATTTATCCATCCATATTAAATATAAAATTATAATCTAAAGCAATTATCAGACGTACGTTAACTGGGCAGTGCTTGGGGTCAACGTACGAATCAGCAACATTCAATGTTTGTTAACATTTCGATCGAATTGAAAACGAGTACCATTTTGTCATTGTGTGTTCCTTGTATTCATGTCACTGTACACCAAATGTAATAGCTGAAAACGTGTTTCGCGCCTTTAATAAAAAAGTCGAGTGCACTGTATTTCTAGATTTACTTATCCTATCTTTTGTGTTTTCTCGTCACTATACGATACTAATTGTTTTATATTTTCTCATTGTACTAAATACCGGATAAATTAAATTAGTTAAAGCATTCGCAAGAATTAAAAAAAATCTGAAACTCCAACTTTTTGTACACTTGTATGGGTTTGTTAACTGTGAACACGAAACTGATACACAGTTTATAAAAAAGGATGGTCAAAAATAATATTGAAATATTAAATTAAATAATTATAAATACTTCTGTTTTTCATTGAAAAATGTGGGCAGACAATCTTTTCAGATCGTCTATCCTGCTGGAGAAATTGAAAAGAGATATACCGTAATAATCTAACAGTGCCTAATGTATCTTCTATAGCTGAGTTCATAATACTTGTTACGGTTCCTATGCAAGTCATTTATATGTCAATGTAAATATATATGTCTTTAGTTCCTATCGTGATTACATGAAATTGACTGGGATAAAAGTGACAAATTATTAGGTTATGAATTCTGGTATTTGACAGTGTCTTCAGCAATTCAATATTATATTTTGGTCACGTGAGTCTGTTGTTGACTATTCAAAACATTCGACCAATAACGGACGACTTACGTGTACATTGGATAGAATAACACTCAAAAGCTCAATATTGTATAAATGCATTGAACGCTCAAGACGACGTGTGTACCACAGACTACATTTGAAATGTTCCGTGGAACTACGGAATGTTAAATCGGGTTATATATAACTTAGGATACTCCGATATTGCTGTGAATATGAGTATTATATTAAAACCAAACTGATCTCACATTCATCATTTTATTGTCTTTTTACATTAAATTTAATTGTAATTTCACGTCCCGTGATATCATAATTTATTGATTAAGTTATATAAACAGAAAAGCATTAATTATCGCACTGTGTCTTGTAGGGTTCGTCATTTATTCGCTGAAAAAGCAAAAGATATTACGTGTAATGAATGAATAAATACACATTTCTATTTTTATGTGTCTTCTATAGCTGAGTGAATAATTCTGTTAATGGTTTCTATGCAAGTCATTTTATTCTATCATTTATATGTTCTATGAATATATGTGTTTTGCACTCTGACTGTGATTAGATGAAAGTTACTTATTGATGAATTATCCTAAAATAGAAAACTTATTAAGTTGTGTATTCTGGTATTCGACAGCGTGTTTATTTTTACTAGTACGGTATTTTTGGTCACGTGAGTAAGTTGTTGTCTATTACCATTCTGGGCAGATAACACACGACTTATGTATACGTTGGACAGAGCGAAACTCCTAATATCTTAAACAAGCTCTTAAAATCAGCCAAGAACTTCTCAACCAATCAGAATATGTTATTGTCCTGCGTTATATATACAGTAAATGTCGAGTTTTTGTGTCAGATTTGTGTACCTAATCTGGATACAGTGAAGATCAAGTCAATTTCTAGGGATATAATATCAGATAAAAGTTCCTGGAGCTTTAAACACACGACATTTTTTTGCGTAAATGTTCTGATCACTTCTAGTATCGTACTTTTAAGTAGAAACAATTGAGTTCGAACTGGAGCCATAGACGCAAGGAGTGTTTGAATACACACTCAGGTTTTTTGATGCAAAATAGATAAGAACTATTTATTGTTTGGTTGTTTATACAAGGTTGAATATGTCTGTAATTGTGGCGTAAGACAAAGTTGCTACAATTTGCAAATACGAACGCCAGAGGGCGACATATAACATAAATTGAACACCGACGCATTTGATAACGACTTTTATTGTTTCGTTATTTATTCTTTAATAAATAATTTAGCGGGAGGGGGGATTCTTCACCTGCGCATAACAAGCGACGATAACAACGCACGTTAAAAGCGTGAAGGCCAATGGGGTTAGACACTTGTTTGTAAATCATTGCATCCTATGCTGTTCACGGCATGCGCGGGTGTCGAGTCTCCGATTTAATTAATGATTTCTATTTTTTATTAAATTATGTGGACAGACAATCTTTTCAGATCGTCCATCCTGCTGGAGAAATTGAAAAGAGATATACCGTAACTATCAACCACTGTTTCATGTGACTCCTATAGCTGAGTGCATAATTCTGTTAATGGTTTCTATGTAAGTAATTTTATTCTATCATTTATATTTAACTGTGAATACATATGTCTTTGACTCCTACTATTATTATATGAAAGTAACTATTTATGAACTTGGCTAAAAGTGACAATTATTTTGTTATATTTTACTATTCGAGATCGTCTTTAGTAATCTACGAGGGGCGTTCAATATACGATTAATTAAAATCTGTGCATTGTATTTATTACATCACACTTTAATATACGATTAATTAAAATCTGTGCATTGTATTTATTACATCACACTTTAATATACGATTAATTAACAACTGTGCATTGTATTTATTACATCATACTTCAATATACGATTAATTAACAACTGTGCATTGTATTTATTACATCACACTTCAATATACGATTAATTAAAAACTGTGCATTGTATTTATTACATCACACTTTAATATACGATTAATTAACAACTGTGCATTGTATTTATTACATCACACTTTAATATACGATTAATTAAAATCTGTGCATTGTATTTATTACATCACACTTCAATATACGATTAATTAACAACTGTGCATTGTATTTATTACATCACACTTTAATATACGATTAATTAAAATCTGTGCATTGTATTTATTACATCACACTTCAATATACGATTAATTAAAATCTGTGCATTGTATTTATTACATCATAC